CTTAATCTAGTGGGGCAAAAGAGTCCTGCAAAAATTATTCATTCTTATTATCTGGATCTTGGGAACTTGGGCTTCTTCCATTTAAGTTCTTGATTTAATGTCTCATATTCATTTCATGTTTGTCAAGAAAGACACTGACCATTTAATGATACCTCATTCTGATGATTAAAAATTTTCTCAGCATTTTATTTTTGATCAGTTTAACAGAACTCATGGACAGAACTCATGCTGAGAAGTATTCAAATACATTATTTAAGTAAAATTTAAAATTGAATTCTAAACATGTTATTAATAGTTCTGTGTTACACACTGAAGGCATATTAATGAATAAAATCAAAAATACATTAAATGTGCTGTAATTGTTAAAAGATACAACTAATACTGAGTCAACTGTCGATCAATTTACATCGACAGTGGTGCAAGATTGTTTTGCTGAATTAAGTTTTTTAGAACTTAAATTTTATTAAGTTTAAACAACCATACATCAGAAATAATTGACATACGTTTTCCATAAATTAGACATCTCAGGATGACGTTTTACAATATAAGCATCACCATACAATCCTAAAATAAGGATCCAATTTAGGTGACAGAGTTAGGCACCATAAACAAAAAACCTAACTTGTTAAAATTGTTTACAAGAATAAAGCTTCTGCTGGACTTCAACGTAGGCTGAAAGTAGATTTTGGAAGTCTGAATAAATGTTATCTTTTCATTTGATACAAATCCCTTACTTTTTCAACCCAGGCGTTATAGGAGGGTGACTCTAAAGCTGAGTTAGGAGCTGCAGTCTCAGCTGGCATATGGAATCTCATAATCTCACCTGAACCACACAGTGTAAATACAAGTTCATATCACATTTCCAACTCTTGGTGTCCTTTAGGAAGGTGGAAAGCATCTATGTTTGCCCATCTGCACTGGAAAGGCATAGCGCAAACTCAAACAACCAAGAGTGATGGTGTAAACAAAATAAAGCTTAAGAATCTTAAATACAAAAACACTTAAGAATGTTATAATCTATCAGAGAGGAAATAAATAAGAAGAATAAAAAATGTTAGTATACTTATACAACTGGTCCTGGTTGAGGCCTGACCTGCCACCAGCTCCACGGATACAGAAATGCAATTCTCCTCTCGGTGAAGAACAGGACCAGTTAGAAGCCTCCTGTTGTTTTTTTAGGCTGAGCCTGGCCATCCCCCAAGAACCAAAGCCCAATCACCAGGTGCTCACTGGCAAGGTCCCACAAATGTCTGACTCTATGATTGTACATGAGTACCTCTATTTAGTACACAAAATGCAAAGGCTGGCTGGTGTAAGCATAAAAAACCTTTCACATCATACTCTTGATTCACTGTATATATATGTTCCTTATGTCACATATAGGGTCATATACAGAATATAGGGATCAAAGTGAATCCTCAATAACATATTTGTGCTTCCCCATGAGTGGAAGGAAGTTGTTCCACACCCATAACAACTGTGAGCTGTAAGGCTAAGACAGGAAGAAGAGGAAAAATAGTGGTGTCGTGACAAAGCAAAGTCTGCAATAGCAGCACAACCCAAGGGTGCAAACAACAGACATGCCAGATGATCATCCAGTGTTCATCTGCTCTCATCAATACATTGATCAAAAGATCTTGATGTGGACAAAAATGGGACCATAAAACAGTGAAATGCCCAACATTTTTTGTATATATATTACTCAGGTGAATGCTGCTCAGCTCCAGATAATGACTCTTTGGTTCATCTCATGGGAATAATCTGCAAACACACAGGGCCAGTGATCTCACCAGATCATCTTGTATAATATGGATAAAAAATATCTGCAAAAGGGGATTTGTGGCTATGTGTCTTTTTGAGGACAGTATTTCTGAAAGGGGCCTCTGCTTTGTCATGCAGAGCATTTGGCAAGAAATATGAGCTTGTTCTCATCAAAAGGAGTCAGTTGAGGTGTTTCGGGCATTGACTCAGGATATTTCCATTTGGAGGTTTTCCAAGTTTGTCCCACTGAGAAAAGACCTGGAACAGAAAAAAAAAATCTTCATCTGTCTTGTTTTTGGCTTTGGAAATAAGCTGTAACAAGAAAAATGGACATCTGCATTTCTCTCCTGGATGTCTTAAACTCAAATCCAAATATTTTATAAAATGTGAATACAAACCGCATAGCTAAAAACATGTGTTTTGTGCTCAGTATTACAATTACAACACACCTACCAAATAATTATGTTTTTAAACCCTGACTTAATATTCTTGTCAATTTTTTTTGTATTATTATTTTAAAAGAAATATTACACTGTTTACCTTTCAAATGGGCTTATAAATTATTGAATGAGATTCCAGCTTTTAATCCTGACCAGTTGACCTTTGTAGCTTTTCCCTTTCTCTATCATTTAGCTGTGATAGAAATGCTGACTTTCAAGAGCAATGCCCTTTCTGTACAACAGACAAAATCTCAAATGATATGGAAGGCATTCTGCTGCAAAAGTCTGCATGGGTGGTGCTTAATACTTACCTGGCAACAGATCCTGTCATCACATGGACGACACTCGACTCCTATTAAAATGTGCTCCGGGGGAGCTTGTTTCCTCTTCGTTAGACTACCTGAGCCAAGGTCACAGTGGGAGAAATCCACACAATAACCTTGATAAACTGACCTCAATGGGTTGTTGCCTATCAATATTGTTATCTGGCAAACGATTCTGCAAACTGGACAATCAGTTTACTTAGCTCAAAATATGATCACATTTTTTAACCTCTCTGATAACTGAAGTTTTTGTTTATTCATTTTTTTGCTTTTGAATGTGAGCCAGGCTAAGAAGAGGAAATGTAATAAAATGATAAGTCATACCCATATAAGAATTATTTGTACATTTGTGACAACGTTGATCTTTGCTGCTTCTTTGCAGCAAGATCAATTCCGTGTGTGGAAGATAAGAAGATGGAAACTAAATCTACAGTAGTCTTTCAATCATGTCAAAAACTTTAACTCAAAAGCTGTTCCATAGTTCTAAAGTTTTAGAGAAAATTTAACTTATAGTTGTGAATTGAAAAACATTGGAATAGAAATTAAAGTTGTAACACTACACGTTTACACTGAATATTTTCAGTGCAGCACTTTATTGTGCAGAATACATAACCTACTGTGTATAGGTTCTGTATGCATGCATAATGAACAAATAATGAGTCGTTTTAAACCTGTATGCATGCAGAATATTTCGGTGCAGAGCTAAGTGTGAAACTCTGTGGTCACCAACTTTAAAAAGTGAGACTAAAACAAAGCTACACAGAGAGGACTATGTCTAAGAACTACTATTTGGGAACATTAAGGATTCTCATAAAACTACAGTGATGATGAGGAAAGAAAGGTTTATCAATAAGATATACATGTGGTAGCATGTAGTAGCAAGCCAAATATAAACATCACAGATACTGGGAAAAATTTTTTAAAAGATTCTGTAGTATTCAATTCCCCCAATAACAATAACATTGATGGGAGGCGATTGTGCCAACAGCTATATGCGTATATGCTGCATTCAGTTACACCTTGTACACTAGATCGTGTAAGTATCAAAACAACTTCAAAGTGATTTGACCATGTTCTCAAATATTGGCACAAAGCTGAAAGTGCTCCAAAAACTTTTCAAAGGTGTTTTGAGGGAGTATTTCCCCGATAGTGTTCATTGTACCAAACAGTTGTTTCTGTAAATGGATACTGAAAATAAAGGTTGGTAATAAGTATGGTAAATGGCCAGTACAGTGCTTCATCTTGTCCCAAAGATTCTGAAGCATTTTGCACTATATTCAGTTATTCATCCATTCATAGTGGTAAGTTACAGCTGACCTGGGGAAGAATCACAGAAGTGAGGCTGCTATACCACTCCAGTCTAACTCTAAATACACTAAAGCTATACTGCTTTACGAAGCTAGAAATGAAACCAGTTCCATCAGATGAAATGGGGGTCGGAGGGTCTGTGTATGAAACAATGTATGAGAAACATTGTGAGGACTTCAGACTGTATCTAAATGGAAGACATTAGTCAGGCCCTATTATTTTCACAAGCAATTGGCTACAAATTACCGCTAAAGATCTGATGATGAAGGAGATGTAGGCATTCCAGTGTCCTCTAGTCTTCTTTAAAAATACATTTCCATGTTATTGCTGCAAAATCATCATAAAATCCATAACTGGTTCTTAAATACAGAATGCGTGTTGCAGCCATGGGGTTTAGAACTTAATATATTTGAAGAAGAAATTTGATCAATAAGAATAAATAAGATGAAAATAGCAAAAATAAAACTCTGGTCAGTTGCCTTGTTCCCTCTGTGATGTCAGCAGAGGAATGTGTTTCTGAAAAATTAGGTTTAGAAGGGTGATCAAATAATGATCTCCAACTAAATACAATAAATATGAAAGCTGACCTTATCAAGCTGTTTTAGAGATTACAAAATATATCTAAAATGAGGTTAAGGGATTTTACAAAAGTCTTGCCAGTTTATTTAACTCTACAAATATGTGAGTTCAATAGCAAATTTAAAATGTTCATTTATTTAGCCTACTACAAACATCATGCTTATTCTTTGTAGAGGCTAGAGTTCATCTTATGCATTGCTTTTCAACAGTACAGCCATACAATTGGCAAATGACCGAATAGCTGGCGGCTCACAGCGCACCGCCTGGTGACAGTACTCCGGGCTGATAAGCGCTCTAAAGAGGTAAGGGACACCCATTCAAGTCTGGGACCGGTCATTTCCTGAACAACCCAGAGAACCGGGAAGTTATTTCCAGGAAGAGAAAAAAAAAAACGTCCTTGTGATCTAGAGCATTAATAACAGAGTTTATAGCCTCCTCTAGTTTTATGCGTCTTGGTGCGATCAGGCGCGTAACAGAAGGTGTGCGCACATGGGCAAACATTTGTCATTTTAACTCAGTGACCGGAAAATAAAATAAATAAAAAAAACTGTTAAAAAGTTAAACTATAGAAGAAAGAAAGAAGATCGAGATGTCTACTTCTTCTACTCCCGGCCGGGAGAACACGAAGAACTCCAGGAAGTTTTCAGGAGAGGCACGTGGAAAGAGACCACCGGATTTGGAGCTCTCTGAAACCGCATTTAATGGGCATGAATCAGGAACAGCTGCGGGCAGCAACGACACAATGCAAGGAGAAGGCAGCTCCCGTGTTGAAGCTCCCCTGGTCACCTGGACCCCTACCTGTCTCATCCCCGGATGTCTGTGCGGATGTCAGTGTACAGCACCGGGGTTCGCCCAGCTGTTACCCGCGCCTACATCCAGGGACGGGTGTATAACTTTCTGGAAAGGCCGTCTGGCTGGAAGTGCTTCATGTATCACTTCACAGTGTAAGTGTTTTCCTCAAATCTTCTTTATGTATAAAATTCTGGATTCGCGGGGTATTTCGTGGGATTATTACACACAGATTCAAATTAAACAGACAGTTAGTTGCACTTGGCAAGTGTTGCATTGGAAGGTCTTGCAATAAGGAGCTGTTCATCTTTTGAATTTAAGAAAAATGCTGATCAGATAGACATGCATCTCCAGGTTCCACTGGGAAAGATGAAAGGACTAGGCTGGAAATAAATGTGATCCATTAAAATTTATGAAATGTTGGGAGCACTGAGATGACACTATTACACACATTTTTAATTTGGAATCATGTTATTTATTTATTTTTTTTGACCAAGCACCAATCTGTATTTAATTTTCCAGAGATGCATTGAGAATTTACTGGATTGTATTCAGAGATCCTTTGAAAAACACACACAATCTTTACTGCCAGATGCAATGTTATTTTTCTTTTCTTTCTAGTTTCTGCACATCAAAGATGAAATCAAGTGAAATCACTGTTTATGTTTTGAATTGATGCAATCCACTTTCATGAAACTCACAAGCTTTAAACTGGATGCATTTGATGGTAACCAGCCAGAGGTTTTGGAATGTGGGATATGGTTTTCTAGCACACCCCCATGTGTGCTGTCCATCCCTGCTTGCTGGCACTGATAGCGGGCAGCTAAACTTGGCAGGATGCATGCTGTGGAGGAGCCAGCGGCCCGGTCTCGCCCTGCTACCCTGTGACCCTCTGGTGTCGGTGGGGACACTGAGGAACGCGGCCTGTCGGAGCGGGTTAGAATCTGAGTGACTCAAAGGGAACATGAGCAAACGTAATGCAACTCCAGCATATTTAAATGGCAAGTTCACAGAGCATTTCAGTACGGAAATTATATGGTTAAACACTGTTCTTTGTTCAGTTAAGTATGTATGTAGCCTTTATTCAACCAGGTATGTCTCATTAAGATAAAAAAAAATGTCTTTGTTCATGAGACCTTGAATTACTGCATTTTTAAATGATATTTCTTGAAAAACAATCTTTTGTTGTGTATAGTTGTTAGTTTTTAATTCTGTGTTTGTTTGATCTTCTTATGTTTAGAAAAACTGATTACTACTAGTTTCATTACATTATTAGGGTCCAATGTTTCTGTTTGCTGCAGCTCATCTACTTTCTTCATGAGAGCATTCTTTGCCATGTTACTGGAAGGTTCTTGTTTCACTAATGTTATGACTTTATTGGCCTAAGGGTTTAATGAAATTGGCCTTTCCCTGCACCCCCTAAAACAAATATGATGTCAATGGCTTTTGTATTGATTGTTGATGCTTAGTAGTGTGAGAGACTGTAAAAGGTTGGTGAGAGTGATGCAGCAGGTTGTAGCATGAAATTGCACATTTGTGCTAAAAGTGGTGATGAAAGGTCTACATGGCTGATTTCTACGTCTCATATGTCCAAATGTGTTTGTGTTAGCCGGCTGTGGATAGAAACAAGGTCAGAGTTAAATAAAGGATATATTTCATGGCCCCTTCAATTGACATTACAGGAAAATACAGCTTTGGTTTGAGGGACAATACAATTGAATTCACATTTTCTGTAGAAACATATGAAACCGCATGTGGAACCTTGCAAAAGCATTTATATATCTTGAACCTTTCCACATTTTGTCAATGTCTCACCTCAAACTATAATACATCATTTTTGTAATTTTATATGATAACTCAACACAAAATATTGTATAACTGTAAAATATTAGATAAAATAGATAAAGAAATGTGGAAACACATGGTTTTTAAATGTTTTTTATGAATAAAGCATAGCATGCATTTGAGTCAATATTATTTAGAGTCCCATTTCAAAGATAAAACTTCAAGTCTTTTGACTTACTTTATGAAACTCCATGCTTTGCATAGGCCTAGGCTAAATTCTTGCCCTTTCTTCTTTGCAATACAGTTGAAGTTCATTTAAACAGATTTAGAATATCTGGAAACATACATTTTCAATGGCTTCTCAACTGGAAGGAGATGTGGACTTTAACTAAGCCATTATAAAACTATTTGCACTTATAGTTATATGTTTGAGATGGTTGTTTGCTAAAAGGTGAACCTCTGCCATTCTAAAGTTATTCCCATACTTGAACATTTCTATCACAATTTCACTGTATTTGGCTTCCTTCATTTTTTATTTTTATTAGTAAAACCATTTTGAGGCATTGTATAGCTTTCGTTTTACATCCCAATTATGCATTACTTTGCATGTGTATCTTTTAAAATTCCAATAAAATACACTAAGGTTGCATAGAGTCTGAGAATATTTTGTGATAAAACGTGGTAAAGTTCAAATGGTAAAAACATTTAGCAAGGCACTATGCAAATACTTATATAAATTGTAGCTAGATCATAATCAGATGTACTGGATATTCTGAGAGTGATTGATCAGCATGCAGTTTTGTGATATGAAATCTTACTGTAGGTATCTGGGGCTCAGTACAGAACTTTGTTTTGCAAATATTTGAGAGAACAGCAGCTATGAAAAACCATGTTCTTGTCATTGACCCAGAACTCAAACATCAAAGTGACCCAAAGCCTTATCAGAATGTTTCTTGTGTGTTTGCACTTGGATATACATACATTTGGTGATACAGTTTAACTTGGGCTTTAGGATCTGTTCCATTATGGTAAATATTATTAATAACATTGTTTGTGTACAGTATATGTACATAAAATATGTAAATATGCACAAGTACATATTTAGCTTCATGGAACAGATAACATCCATTGCAACACTGCAATATAGAATGGTTGTACATATTTAGTTCTCCTTTTTGTTTCAGCAAAACTTTTTCCTTGTGTTTCTGTGCGAGTGACAAATAGCTAAATGGGATGTTTTGGTCAGCAGCAGCATGGATTCACCCCACATGCTGGGCGTAGATGCGTCAGCTGGGAGAGTTAAAAGAAAACGGATATCTCAGTGTTTTCCAGACTCATCTCTATTAAACTAAACCACTTATTCTGACAAACAGTCAGAGGGAGGAAGTTCAGACATGCATCAATGATTTAACAAAAAGACTAAGAGATCACAAAGCGTTACCCGTCTTTACTAGAGACACATTTTGACTCACTGTTAGTATTTTATTTTATTGTTTACTGCAATTGTGTGATTTTCTCTTTTCTTTTCAAGGTGCTCCAGTTGTTACACACCTTGTCAAACTTTCCCCCCGAAATATCTGCAATTTAACTCAACAGATGCTCACATTTTCAGTGAACCACAATATCAACATTGTTTTACCTATTATTTACATACTGACTGCACTTTGGACAGATAATTTGACAAAGATTTACACCATCTATGTTACAGCCTTAAATCAATTTAGGAATTATTTCTTGATGGAATAAACATAATAGTGTCTAGTGACATGGTCAGTAGGGTAACCCCCAGTTCTCACTCTATGCTTTCCTACACACACAGTACAACATAGTGCAAGTGAACCTGTCCATCAATAATAGATAGGTGGAATGCTTTGAGCTTTTGTTTAGAGTTCAGTGGAGCCTGTGCTGCTGAGCCTTTGTATTATTTTGTCTGTTGCTACACCAAGCTCTTGGGTGCTAAAAAGAGACAGAGGCTGTATTTTCTAAGGGTCTTGAGGTAAAGAAATTGTAGAAGGATAGAGCAGTTAGTGGTGAGAGAAAGACAAGTTAGAAAGTCTTTGCTAAATAAATACTGAGCAATCAAAGCTCAGGATTGTTTATGTTTATCATCATTGCAAATGACATAAAATAAAATAGATAGGGCTTCACTGAAAAAATAGCTATTGCCATAACAAAATGACTCCTCTGCTGTTGAGTCTCTTTTCATTATTATTATTTTTTTCTCACTGCTTCTGTCACACATATAATGACATAAACATGCAATGACCAGTGATTAAATATTTATCACAGCTATTTTACTTTTCATTTTCCAGAAGACAAACATACTTTCATTTACATATGCAACATCCTGGGGACTGAATTTAGGGGACTCCAGTGTCATTTTTACTGTGTTGTTTTGTCTCCATGTTTAGTCATTTCAGACAGGACCATCTGCTTTAGTGGTGTTATCCAGCAGCCCTGAGCAGATCCCTCCTCGGTCTTTTATCTGTGTTGACGTGTGGTGTGCACGTTTTTGACTCTGTGTGTGTGTGTTAGCACAGAGGGGGGGCATTTGGATTCCTGGCTGGACTTCAATAAACGGGAAGCAGTAGCAAGAAGTGATAAGGGTCTTCGTAGTGCAAACAAAACTGTTGCTACACATACTTTCCATCAGGTCTACTCGAATAGGATTAACTCTGTGATTACTTATGATTCTTTAGTACAAGTTGAAATCTTCAAAGACAAGACAAAGGACTAAATTCTTATTGATGTCATAAAATGTCACGCTTTGTGAAAGTTTCACTTTTTGGTTTAAAGATACACTATTCCACGTGCAAACATTTACGCATTTTCTGAATTTGACATATTGTCAATGTTTAAATGGAGAAAAAAAAGGAAAAATTGATGCTGGGTAAAATTCCTTGACTTTGAAGTATCACCATGTGTCATGAGATGGACACAAAGTTGAATTGTTTGCTTCTCCATTGTTCTGCATTGAAGCTTTTCTGGATGCATTGTCTTTCCATTGTTTTCTTTTATAAGCCTTTTTGTTGCTTTTTCTTACTTCCTGCCAATTTCCTGAAATTTAATTTAGTTATACCTTCAACTAATGGCGTCTCAGATGTCTTAAAGCTGTTTCCTTGACTTGACTCACTGTAATTCAGCAGGCATTTCGACATTTGTGACTTTTTACCTTGATATTTCAGTCTTCATTGTGTAGATTTAGTCTGCAGCTGTCACCATTTTAAGGTTCGCTCACACATATCATCCAGGTGCACTGAGAGGATAATGTAAACGTTACAATTTGGATGCTCACAGCTATGCACAGGATCCATGTCCGTCTGCTCTGCAGTGATAACACAGAGTGACTCTGCAGTAGATCTAGTTAATGTCATCATTTCCAAACTCAGCAGTGTTATAACAGCCACATGTTTTCTGCTCTGGAGAGCAGCAACTCATTGAGATGGTGATTATTCTACTTGTTCAGTAAATTACCATTATCTAGTATATGGGTTAACAAGAGTAATGGGGATCAAAGGGAGAATCTACATCGTCTCTTTATTAATCCTGAAGCTTATAGCAGTATGAGATATTCATCTGAAAGTAACACAATCCACAGAATCTGATAATGTGCCATTAGCTTATAGCTTTTTAGCTATGTCAGGGTGAAACCTGAGTGTTTCATTTTTTTTTAATTTTTTTTTACAATAAAACTCTTCACTGGGTTTCATTCATACGGGATTTATTTTGCCTAAAGATAATGTTAAAAAGTGTTACTTCCTAAGACCCCAGTCTGAATGAGCAATGAGTACGAGAGGTCCAAAGCTTACTGTAAACACTGAATAGTCAATTTTGACTAAGTATTAAAATAGGCAGCAACTAAAACAGTAGCAAACATTATACATAAAAAAATCAAGCTCACGTTCAATTCTGTGAATTCCCTTGTCTGTTTCCACATCAATCATAGGTTAGTAATCTCTTTTGGGTTTAACACTCTCAAGATTGCAGCATGGAGTAAACTCTGGATTGTGCTACTATTTCTCTGTCAAAATTGGGGTTCATAAAGATTTTTTTTATTTTTTTTGTTTAGAATTACTTTAACAATTCTTTTGGGGTTTCTCAACACAACAAGATACTGCATCCTCTGTTTTTAAAAGGTGATGTGCTTTATTTCTGCCCCTGATTCTAAGAGAGGATTGCACTAAATATATGTAGACAAGACAACCCCTCACATGTTCAGAAAATACAATGCTTAAAATTTCAGCTTTTCTTATTCCACAAACAAAGCAGGTGTTGAAATGATCAAACAGAAAGGAGGTAAAAAATAGATGAAATAAAGTTCTGACCTGTCAAGTACTTGCTGAGTGATGCATGTTTCTAGTTCACTGCTGCAGATATAAAAAGGCAGGGAAGTCTATTAGATTGCAGATATATTATATAACCACTTTGCAATATGTACTGCACATCCTTGTTTTTCACAAGCAGGTTTCTTGTGAAAAAGAAACCTTGTGATTTTGACCTGGTAGTATTACTTACTAATAAATTGATGTTGGGAAATATCTGCCTTTGTGTTTAGTTTCAGAATAAGAAGAACACAGTCAATTAACCAAATAGTGAATTCTTTAGTAGCATTGATTACTGCAACAGTGTCTTCTTAGGTCTGTTTGAAAAGTCAGACAGACCAGACAATTTTCTAACTTTCATGTCTAAGCTTAAATGCCCTTAAGCCAATTTCTTGAACATCATAGTAAGTTGACTGTACTCCAATGACATCCACAGTCAACAAATCTCAATCCAATAGAATACCTCTGGAATGTGGTGAAACAGAACATTCCTATCAGGGATATGCAAGCAACCAATCTTCAGTTACTGCATTTTGCTATCGAGTCAATATGTACTAAAATCACTGTGGAATGTCTCTGACACTTTGTTGAATCTGTGCCATAAAGGACTCAGGCACTTTTGAAGGCAAAGAGAGTCTAGGTGAGGTGTATCTAAGAGAGTCAGTGTATGCAGCTATACTACTCGTTGATATGGTAAAGATGATGTCCAAGAAGATCCTGTGTTTATAACTCAGAAATATGGGACACACATTAAATATTGGATGACTCCACATTTTAAGTGATGTGTGGAAACCCTAAAGCTAGGATAGGCTCCATCTTCCTTGTGACCTTGAGTAAGATTAGATGGGTATAAAAAATAATTGATGATGTCATTACAGTAATTTTTTTGCACTCTTGTCAATAATAGACGAAGAAAAGCATCTGGCAGATCGTTTCTTATCGGCTGTTATGCAAATCACATTTACTTCTAATTCCATGTTAACTGCATGCTGCTTCCTATATAGGTCAATGAATCACAAGAATAAAACAAGCCTTTGGATTTATTCACAATCTCCTATTTCATTCACTTTCGTTCAAGCTTTTATCCTCACATTTCTCACCACCTCTTGCCAGCAGAATAATGAGTTTGTCCTTCCTTCAATGTCAACCTTTCTGCAAAATTTCATAAAACGTTCATTTTCTATTTTACCTGGTAAATAGCTGAACCGCTGAAACACCTTCATCCAAATTTAGCGGTGATAACAGAGACAAAACTGAAGCAAATGAAATGAAAACAGGAGCTCTGGCCCTACTTGATGGGTTGAAACACATGAGAGCAAGAAAATAAGTTGAGATGGACTCGTGAGTTATATTGCAGTTCACCCTGCTTGCCTGACTTCCTCTTCTTCGATTGAAATTGAAAAGGATCCCTCATATTGACTTTTATGAAAATCTCTGAAAAATGATATACACAGGGAAGCAGACTGTATTCTGATTTTCATTTCTGGTTGCAAGTTACTACATTTGAATTTCAAAAACAAACAACTCTTTTTATTCAGATCTCAAAACATGTTCATAAAAAGACTCATGAAATCAAGTTCATCCCTAAATCCGTAATCTCTAAGAGTCAGAACTGGATTTATATTGATGCTACTTCTTTCTGTGGTGAAGTGTCAAAGCAGCTTCAAGCCTTTACTTGAAGAATTGTGGCTTTTATTATAAGTAGCTTGAAGGGTTTTGAACATCTTTTTGTAGTCACATTTTGAAGCACTTTTCAACTCAAGAGGGATATTGGTTAAAGAGTAATTTAGTACTTAGAGATAGTGTAAGTGGGTTGTAAAATTCACTATATGCACATGTGACACATTCTGCATGTTCTTTGCATTTAAGTGCATACATTTTCTAAAAGTTCAGTTTTCCCTTTAGAGCAGTTTCCCCAGTTTTTTGTCAGATACTTGAACTAAAAACACCAAAGTTGAGTTAAGGCTTTTCACTTTTGATCAGAATCTGAAATGTTGACATAAATATGAGCAGGGATTGAGGAGATTCATGTTTGCCTGACAGACTGCAAGCAACATAGAGCTTTGATTTGAGAAGTGTTTTTTTTATTGGTGTAGAAGGTTCAGTTCAGCTTAATTATAGACACAGCTCCCACAGGAATATAGAAAGTGACTTCTAACATAAACAACATTTCAATCAAGACATTTTCTGCTTTGATCTATACAGGTTCCTCATAGTACTGGCCTGTCTGATCCTCAGTGTCCTCTCTACCATCGACCAATTCCAAGCTCTGGCTCACACAACTCTCTTCTGGATGGTAAGTTTAGATTCAAATATTCAGACATTCCTAATAGAAAAATACAGCAAAATGAAACGCAAGTCAAGTGCCAAGAAAACATAAAGAAGGGAGAATATAAGGCTGTAATGTAAATACAATGTCAGAACAGTCATAACATAAAAATATCACTTTTGTCATGGGAATATATCCTACAGGTGCAATCTCCATCTGAGTATATAATTATTTATGAAAACATTACAAAGTGTGATAAACTCAGCTTACATGAATACTCTGGTAAACCTAAGTTAAAAATGGCCCCAAAAGCAATAATCATTGGTATTTAAAACAAAGGTGACAAAAAGATCATATTAAAAACATATTATATTGGCTCAGCAAGTTTATTTTGACAGTGCACACAGTAGCTATTTTTGACTCAATCAGTGCAAAAACAAAGAAGGATTTCTTTTGATCTGCACATCCATCAATATCACTGTCATCATCAAGCTTTGTGAATTTCATCTAGATAATTACCATCACCTCTAAGTAAATGGTATCTAAGGCTGTGTTGTAGAGAAAAGAATAACCCTCTTGAAACAGAGCTCGAAGTTAAATGTTAAAATCTCTGCAAAGACAGATATTTTAACATTCTGTGAAAGAACTTGCCTTTCAGTGTGGAGTTTATGTCTTTTGTTTATAAATGTGTGGCATTTCTCGAGGTTTTCCAGTTTCCACCCACAATCGAAGACCACTATTTGATGCTTCAAAGTGCCATTCTGCATGTGCCGACGGTTGTTTGTCTTCCAATGGCTTGAAGTTTATCCTGCTTTACACTCTGGATAGGTTTAATCAAGTAAATACAATATGTGCGGATGAATACTCTGTAAATATGAACACTTCCTCTGTGATTGAATAAAGCTAAATTCCAATAGACAGTATGCCAGTGGCAGGTAGCAAAGACTCTTCTTCCTCACAAAAAATAATAATGACTATTCCTTGGATGTAAATTGCCGTATTAGTTATTGTAGGTATTATTTGCCTCAGTTGAGCGATTCAGATTAAGTTCATTTTGGACTTCTGTCAATGAATTGGTTAAATGCTTAATGTAAAAAAATCTAATCTCATGTCCTTAAAAGTAACATTATTGGATATAGGCTAAAAAATCGGACTCAAATAAAACTACTTAAATGGAACTACATAAGGCATTTTAAAAACAATTTCAGTGTGTCCTGCTGCCTTAACAGAGCTAACGCAACTCATCTAAAATCAATATTTAAAGGGATAAACTTAACCCCATTCTTCTCAGCCAGGGGAATGTTTGGTGGGGGCTCAGTCCCTCAAACTCAGATGAAAGAAAATCCCGTTTAAGGAATAAAAGAGCTGAAAATTTGCTGTGTGTAGAAATGAAGAGTGCTACATGTGACAAGTTCACCTTGGATTGAGAATATTTGGATGAGATGAGAACGAGTGCTTCTTGAGCTGTTACATTAGGTGCCAGATCCTAGAAGTATATTATCAGCTTCATGAGGAAAACAGTAAAACATGATTGTGTGGATCTGTAATTAAAATGAAGAATTGTAAGTTTATCATTATCACACAATCAGGAAATATACATTTCCTTTGCAAAAATATTTTCCACCTTAGGTTTCCCCTCAGGAGATGTTTAATCTTCCTATTCTTCTTCTCAACTCAGATAATGAATAATTAATATTTACGACTGAACCTCTAGAAATCCCAGACATTCATCTGTTTCGTTCTCTGACCCAGGGGGATTGTTTAATGCTTGGTGCTTTCTAGTTGGGAGAATTTCTCTGACCCCCCCACTCCTTCATTCGTTCCTCCTCTACAACATAAGCCTTTCTTTTTATATTCCTTCTTTCTTCCTTCACACTCAAGGTTAACAGAGACCACACTGTGCTTTGAGGTGCAACTCTGGCTGATGTGCTTTTGGTCAGATGCTTGGCAGTCTGCTCCAAAGATTTATTTTTTTTTTTTTTCACTTTTTAGGATGCAAAACATGGATCATTTAAACAAATGAGTCAAATTTTACAGTGAATTGTAATTCTGACATATACTCCCAATGCCTTGGTGAGATATAAAATGTTTCACTTCAAATTTTAATGAGTAATAAAGATTTTTTATTTTTTTTTTACCCAATTGCTGATTTCCTTTTCTTCTAAGAAATTACATAAGTGGGGGTATAAACAAAGTTTGCATGTAAAATGATGATTGATTTGGGTCAAAGATGTTGCCGTGAGGAACTCTGGGACTTTGACTCTGCGTGGGGGAAATGACTTTGGGAGGAATCCTAGATTTATTGTTCTCCTTGTGGCTTCTATAATGAGAGAAAATGGAAGAGCAGGAGCAGTAAAAGGTGGACCTGTGATCATTATGTGACTTAGAGGTTAGAAAGATGTATTGGTTTTAGTCTTTTTAATTGTTATATCTTTATTCACAAATATCTGTCTTTTAATGGAGTACTAAAAAATCCTCTGCCACATTCAAAAACTTTATTTTATGTTAGCAAATCAAACAAACTTAAATGTATTTATTTGTACTTAAATAAAAAAAAAGAGAACAATATTAATCAGCACATTAGAATGAATTGGAAATAAGATAAAACTGAGATTTATTTTAATTGCATGACTTATTCCAGCTTTATCACTACAGTGAAATCACTAGCATGGCTGTATATTTTCATAGATGAACATCAGATTATGATTTGCCCAAGATACAAAGGAACACACAACACATCCCTGATGATCCTGATTAAAACGAGGTCAGAAAATCTACTAGACTCCTTGCAGTAACCATGTGCAGTGACTTCCGCTCCAGCCTTCTCGATTATCTATGAAACTGGCTTCACAAGGCATTAGTGTAGCTTGGGCACCAGTGTTGCTTATCTGTCAAATGGATTTCCTCTGAAATCATATAAATGGGCCAGTCTTCGCAATCTTTTCAGAAAGATGTCCCCTCAAGCTGACTTTTTCACACAGCTGAAAATGATTTCAATTTAAACACAATGTGAGTTGAAATTCAGCCATTACAAAGGTTAGCTACATCGCTAAGATCACCTATTTCTCAGTTTGAGTGGATATTAAGTTGTTACTTTAACACACTTGAAGACAGTTTCATATTGACATCTTAATTTATGATTTTGGAAAGTAGACATGTCTTATGCAACATATTTCCCCATATATCTATAAAACTTCCATGAAATAAGAGGGAGAACCTTAATGATGTAGCCTCCTATTGTAACTATTAGGATGTAAAATACACACAAGCCTAAAATCAACTTCAAAACAATCTGAAGTAACTTACATTGTTAAAATATACAATTTGACTTTAAATTCTGATTCAAATATGATGTTTTGGTTATGTCTTAAATCTTGTCATTAATTTCATAAATGGGTTTTAGATTTTTTAGTGCTAACCATTTATTTATTTTTATTTTTTCAAAAACAGCTGGCTATATGTTCTACTGTAAGTCCAAGGGTAATGTGTGGTCAGGCCTAGATACTAAGTCATAATTTGCAAAGAAAGCAAAAACAATGTTTGGCCTTTTGCCTTTCTTCTAAGTAACATTTCCAGTTCAAAGGTATTCCTCTTTATAGCTCATCACACACTTGCAGAACATTTCCTTCTGTACCTTCTGTGTTAAATTATGAAAAAGACCTAATAAAATACAGATGAAGATACAGCTAAAAAGTCACAGTTTGGTCTGACTAATTTGGCAATTTGTGATTACACATTAGCTTCCTTTGACTAATATCCTACAGATTTAAGTGAATAAAAATGGTTTGTGCATATTTTTTATCCCTCACTGTTGGTTTGTTGCTTTTTCTTTGGAAAGGCAGCTTATTTTTCAACCGCGATGTAAAAACCACCAATGATTAAATTAGGAAATGAAACAGTTGGCTGAACATTAGCTTCCGGAAGTACAATTAAACATATATTCATCCAATTTCTTTTCAAACGGTGCTATTTTATATTCATTGACTCTGATAAAGAAAGCACTACTAAGAACACTGCTAAAAAATGTGCAGTTCAACATGGAAACACCATTTGTCAGAACTCTTTAGTGTATTCTCTTCATTCACTCCGTAGATAGTGTCATCATAAAAAAGAAATCAATGCGGCTATTGACTTTCTCTCAGTTCTTTTTCCTTATGGCTGTCAAATATGAAAGACATAGCTGGATGAAACTGCATTTTACAAAAGCTCATTAATTTCTACTCACTGGACTCACCAGGCAGTCCTTCTTTATTGTAATGTGGCAATTGTGTTGACTGTATTCAATCACCATGAATTAAAAAAAATGAACAGATGGAATTACATTGAAGTATAGAAGTAATATATGTAACTGACACAAACATGTTTTCCAAACTTTGCGGGCAAAGTTTTAGACAGTGTAGAATGGTAGATTCATATTTGTTCTATGCAAGATTTTTTAAAAATCATAACATGTTATTGAATAAAAATACAGACTATCTGTATTTTCCATTGCTGAAAAACCTTCCAATCTGATTAGCAAATTGCTATAAAAGGAAAGATGTGCAGGCGTTTGTCGTTTTATTTTGTCAATTTTCAATGACAAAAATATGTCATGCTTATTTTAGCTATGCTTAGAAAACAACGAAACCCTTCCGTTTTGCACCAAGTTGTTCTAATATATGATAGGAATGTCTCAAAGAACATTCCTTGAAAGTGTCCATCAAACAGAATAATTAATTTCCACCAGAGGAGGGCACTAATGAATCATGTTTCCACCAACGCAGAGCTTGTTCAGCACTGGCAGCATGTGGAGTTGTGTGCACCAAGAAGGTGAAACTTTTGGACACTAATTTGACAGAAGACCAGCGATTAGAAAGTTACTTCTATCCAATAAAGTAAACTGAGAAAGATTTAAATATGCTGTCCAACGGTAATGTGTGGTCAGGCCTAGATACTAAAATATCATAGCGTTGCTTAGACCAATAGGACCAACCAGAGATAGCTGGTTAGAGCAGCTCCATAACTGTAAATATTGTGAGATGTATGTAGTCAAATGAGACTGTCCATGCAAGTAGCGACCTGTTGTGCAGAAAAAAAATGAGAAAAATTAAAGGGCTTAAATGGTAGCTTTAGAATAAGCAAGATTTCTGCTTCATTGATTATAATTTCAGTTGTAGTCAAAGAGGTTTGGTTCACATATCTTATGTCCTCTTTCTGGAAGTCAGAAGCATGTTGTTACAGTTCCAATTCAGAAAATTCATTTTGAGCAACTTCAGCTTTTAAAATTCACAAAACAGATTGGAAAAAAAAAAATAAAATTCAAACCACTTTTCCAACAGAGAGCCATCTTGTTTTAGAACGTGAATGTGTTCTCCTTACCTTGAAGGTGCAGGTTACTATCTATAAGGTGCAATTACTACAAATATTATTTTGTCCTCAGTGCAATAAAAGCAACTCTGGCCAACTTTAAGATATTTTATGAAGTTTAACACTTATATTCCTTGTTATTAAGTATTAGAACTATACCAATCCAGTTCAGGTAAAAGAACTGAAGTAGATCAAGTTAGAGTGTATGTTATGAATTCTGTAATGAATTAGATTGAAATGGAATAACTGGTTTGAATGGAATGTGTTGCATATTACCAGATATGAACTTGGCCTACTTTTTATACAGGTTGCTCTGAAATACATATTTTTTTCTAATTTGTCTATATTTGTATATATTTGCACTGTTTAAATACAATACTAAGCCTTTTCCATGGTACCTAACCATAGATGTCACCTTTAAAAATGATCAAGCAACCAATAGATATCATGCACCAGTAAATCAGAATTAGCTACATATAGACAGCAGATGAATCAAAGGACAATTCCATAATTTGGTGCCAGTTAAACACAAACAAATTGCTTATCTGCTCAGGTACACTCAATAATTAGGTCATATTCTGTTGCTCCATCCATCTTTTCTAAAATCTATATCTCTATTTACATCAGAAAATCACAATCTTCAACGGTAATAATTTTCTCCAAGAGGGATCCTGATAGAAAAATCAGATGAAAAACAATCTGAAGAACCCTTCTTTAAAAACAACACAATACGGATAAATTCTTTGAACAAGCATGTCTTGGTCACATATTAATCAGGCACAAGTGCACTGTAGCCGAGTCGGAGAACTCATCAATGAGGTGACACGAATGAAACATTAACGAATGGTGTCTCTTCTGAGGGAGAATCAATATCCTTAATTAATTGTGTGACAAGATTAAGACACTGTGAAAAGCTTTACAGAGAGCTCACATTTATAATTTAACCATATTTGTTTTAAAGCAAAGGAGGTACAAAACCTGAACAGCTGTTCAGGTGCTGTTGCACCAAGTAACCTGCAACAACATCTGATGTTTGTTTTCTATCCTTCTGTCCCTCTGCCTCATTTGTCTAACAGGAAATCGTCCTTGTGGTGTTCTTCGGTGTGGAATATTTTGTCCGCATTTGGTCCGCAGGCTGCCGCAGTAAATATGTTGGCATCTGGGGCCGACTACGCTTTGCCAGGAAGCCAATATCTATTATAGGTGAAAACACAATCCCCATACACTTGTATATCTCTACCCATGCACACAAGCAGACATGTCACTCCTCACCCACTCTTGTAATTTTTAAACAAAACTGGCAATGTAGCCTGAGCCTCTTCCTAAATGAGATAGTTAAGACAAATTCGGCATGAAATTAAAACTGTCACTGCAATATTTTCTTACGTTTAGATTCTATTGTTGAGATTTGTGCCTCCAGGTGCTTATTCTTAAATGTGCCACTGTGAATATTATTATTACTCACACTTTCACATTTTACCTGATTAACATAATTACTTGAATTTTTAAAAAGCCAATTTTCTTTTTTTTTTTATTTGTTTCTATCCTAAAATAAACCCCTGTTATCTCATTGATAAACAACTCCAATATGTTCATGTCCCTAACTATGCCAAATTTAAACAAAGATTCATGTGCTTCATTATCACAGATCTGATAGTGGTTGTCGCTTCGATAGTTGTGTTGTCAGTGGGCTCGAAAGGCCAGGTTTTTGCCACCTCTGCAGTAAGGTAAGTAATTTTATGTGTTCAGGCAGACAATGTAAGACATAAACTCTTTAGAGTCCCGTTTTAGAGTGACTGCCAGGACCTTAACTCTTTTTCTCCATTGGTATAAAAATGTACCTCGTTAATTTCTATCATACTTGAAAATACTTTAGTCCTATTGTGTCTAGGCATGCCTTGCAAAAGTATTCATTTCCCAAAACCTTTTCAGGGTTTTCGATTACATACACATACTGGACAGTATTTCAAAGGAATTTTATGCAACAGATCAACACAAAGTAACATATTTGTGAAAAAAAGAACAAGCCTGTGAACAAATAAAATCTGAGCAGTCTGGAATGCAACTATATGCAGTTCCCCAATACTTTGAAGTCATACTTTGAAGATAAGCTAACATTCATGCCCAATCAGATTTGCATATCAAGAGGCTGAAGTATTTTCCCATTATTTCTCACAAACCCATTCCAGATGAACATGCATTTTCAAAACTTGGCACTGCTATATTTCGCTTGATCCACCTTCCAATCTGATGAGCTTCTTTGTTATTCTGAAGAAAAGCTTTCTCACTGGATGATGCTGCCACTGCCATGTTTTATTGTAGGGACAATGTGGTCAGGGCAATGTGCATTCTTAGTTTCCTGCTTCATATAGCATATAACACCAGAAAATTACATGTATGCCTCATTGAGCAGAGCACACTGTGCTGCATCCTGTGTTCTGCATCCTGGCTGTGCTTCCTCTATTGGTATTTCAAACTGCAAACAGGAGTTCTATCGGTTTTCTTTCAAAAACTATCTTCTTCTTGCCACTCTGAAATTAAAATCCGATTTGTGGCATGACCAATATTTGTACCGTCAACACCTGAACTATGGACATGTGGAGCTACATCCACTTTCTCATTGGCTTTTTAGCTGCTGGTCTTTTTGTCTGGTCTTTCAGTTCAAATCTATAACTAACAACTAGGTTTGAAATTGTGCCATGCTCTTTTAAGATTATGGATTTGACAATGTTCTGTGAGATCTTGAAATCTGGGCTATTATTTTAAAACTGAAACATTCTTTACATGTCTTCAGATTGTTATCTTGACCTGTCTGTTAATCGAACACAAATACACCACAGTTTCAGATTTTTGCTTGTAAAAATGAGTATCAGGTAAAACTTCCTTTCACTTTACAATTTGGCTCTTCTCCATTGGTCTATAACATAAAATCTTACATCATTACTGAAAAGTTAGTGGTTGTAACTTGAGAAACTTTGGGCAAGATTATGATGTAGGGATAATTTTGCAAGGCAATGTAGAACACCAGGTTAGAGTGGCAGCTGTCCTCCACATGACCCTAACCTTAAAGTCATTTGGTGCATTTCATTAGCAGCTAAATTATGTAACATCTATTATACTTCCATGCTATTGTCTGCACTGGGATGTCTACTTGTATTTGGCAAACATATATTGTCAGCAGGTAAAAGTGTTGCATTTTTCCAGAGGGATTCGCTTCCTGCAGATCCTGCGAATGCTGCATGTTGACAGGCAGGGAGGAACCTGGCGTCTCCTGGGCTCAGTTGTCTTCATCCATCGGCAGGTACAAAATCACAGCTCTAAATGTGTTGTATATTTCAAGTCCACAGTCATTCCTGTCACGGGATTTCAGACTATTATAAATATGCTGGGGACTTTCCATCTGGGAGTAATAGCCTCTCACATCAGGTATTATTTTTCTCACTGTGCAATGAAATAGATGGTCTTCATATGAATATACATCATATGGTCAAAATAGTATTCAGAGCAGAGAAGTACAAAAAAAAAGCTCAATTATGAACATGGTTAGGTTTTCAGTTTTATAGACACATTAGCTGGAAAGGATTATGTCTTTCTCCAGGGTGTCATTTAACCGAGACACAGAGGTGGCTGTGATTATCCCCAGTGGCCATGGTCGCTGCCTTTAATGTCCATATGAAAGTGATGAGTGATGAGCAGGGTGTCAGGAATTTTACTCATTCAGGGCCACTGCTGTTCTTCCTTGCCTTCATGATGACTATATCACTTTTTGCTGCTGAGGGTATCGACAGCTGCTGACCTTAGATATGAAGGCAGTTAATATTGGTGCAGAGACCTTTTCCAAACGGAGATTGTTGATGTTGACAGCTTTGTAAAAATGTTAAACAGATAAAACAAGATGTTCACAAAGACTACTTTTAAATTGACAGTGTCAGATGGTGATTTAATAAGTACATTTTTGTACTTTTCTATTAATCTTGAGTAATAACATCAGGTGTAACATCTGGTGCCTTTTTATAGGTTGTTAAAAGTTACTCATTAAAACAGTGTAAATACAAAGCAAATGCATATGAAGCAATGTAAGATAAAGCAAAAGCACACTGTATCGATCTATTTATATACTCATGTTATTCAAGTTATACTTTCAAAATTACAATCTTCAAA